GAGAGAGAGAGAGAGAGAGAGAGAGAGAGAGAGAGAGAGAGAGAGAGGGGAAAGGTAGTGTAGTGATTAAGAGCACTTACTGCTCTTTCAAAGGCACACAACTCAGATCCCAGCACCCACATTGGGTGGCTCACAAACACCTGTAACTCTAGATCCAAGGAATCTGATACCTCCCTTCTGTCCTCCATGTGTACACATATACCACATAAATGAAATTATAAGATAAATCTTAAAAATAATTGGAAAATGTTTTATAAACAGTTAAATGAGTTGAACAATCTATATCTTAACATGAAGATAAACCATAAATTCTATGATCTCTCTTGGGCACTATCCTTAAGGTGAAGCCAATGGAGACTAGATCACATATTCTATGGGGCAAGCACAACTGTGAACAATAGGTCCTACTTTGGGAAGGTTCATGGGTGTCCTCAGCCGGGTCCGCACGCTCTTCATTAGCATGCGCTGCTCCGTGGGCAGCAAGTGGTACTTCATGGCTTCAATGAGGTAATCTTTGCACGCACTGCTGTTCTTCACCAACGCTTCCTCTTCAACCCTCTGTGGGAAGAGAGCAGACAAGCCCTGTGAGTGGGTAACGGCCAGGGTAGGAGAAGACAGCTATGGAAACAGACGGAAAAAATACAGCGGTAACTGTCCTGTCCACACCGACTTCTGCTCACGCATTTGGCTACAGAGAAAAACAGCAACAAAAGCGATGACCTTAGATCTCAGCAAGAGAGAATCGAACTCTATGGACAACAACAGTCATGCCCACCTGTTCCTTACATTTAAAGAAGCCAAAGAGTTGACAAGAAAGGAAAGAAAAACAAAAGGGGAAACTTGTGGGAAAGGCGGGGCCTGAGGATTTGGGGACTTTACCTTGGAGTTCACCCCCTAAAATGTCCCCACAAACGTAAGTTATTACAGAGACGCAGAGACTACGATCTGGGCTAGTCAGAAGGGCCGGTAACAGGTTTTCTCAACTAGGCTGATGAACTTGGTGATGAACTAGGGGAGGCTATTAGTTCATGATAGGCTCTTCTTACACAGGAGGGCATGTGAAAAGAGACCTAAAACACTTTAACACATTATACCTAGGGGGTTGTTTTTGTTTTGTTTTGTTTTTTTTGCCCTGGCACTGTTTGACCTTGGTACTGAGCTTTCTGCTCTTTTTCTTTTCTTTTTCCCCCCTTTTAAATATTATAGCATCCAGAGAGCACATAGACCATGTTACATAACAAGGTTCCAATAAACCTTAAAACATTGAAACCTAATCTGCTTGTCAACAACGTCTCCTTACAAGTTTCAGTTTCAGAAACTGATGCTCAGATATTTCTGAAAGATGGTTAATAAACAACCAAGAGTAAATTTAAAATACCCTGTTTTTCTTTACCTTAGAAATAAAGAAACCATATATATGTCCCTGTGAAATTATGAGGTATAATTAAATAGCAATTGGTCAGATCTCAAGTCCATTCCCGTTGTAAAATAGGAAGAAAGAAAGGAAGATGTTAGTGCGGGGGTAAGCTCAGGCACATTTATTTACACACACTCAGAAGGTCACAAATGCTACCTCAAAAAGTTCTAGTACTCTCCTGAATCAGAAAGAGAGGGTGGAAGCCAATTCCTAGGAACAGGCAATGGGCTGGAGGGGGGAGGGGGGAAGGGGAGGGGCGGCGGCAGCGCAGCTGACATGGTGCCAGGTGCCTTAACTGTCCTCATTCCTACATCCAGAGATGTACAGAAAGGGCTGTATCCTGCAGCCCTTTCCACTGTGGGACAGGTTTATACCTGCTGGCGGCCAGCGAGCAGATACTGTGCATAAACTGTGCATTCACTTACCTGCACCAAGTACTCCCGAGGAAGCAGGGGTAACCGGACATGCTCCATGAGCCGAGCCATGAACTCCTGCCGTACGTCCTTGTCATGGTTTACCCAGGCTATTACTGCTTCAAATACCTTAAAGGGAGAAAGAAAAATGAGCCGTATGCCAAACAGATGTGTTTCGTACGTATGCTTGCATACATTCACAATCTGATGGAACACATCGTACATACAGCACTGCTAACGCTAAACTCTATGGAGCAAACCTTCTCAACTTGCCACACACAAAGGTTATTTACTCTCTTCTCTTCTCTTCTCTTCTCTTCTCTTCTCTTCTCTTCTCTTCTCTTCTCTTCTCTTCTCTTTCTTTTGATATATGAAGCTTAGTAAGTACTTCATTAAGTGCCTTGGCTTGCTCAGTAATCACTTTCCATTTCGTATTTCCTAAGCAATTCACCAAGCTCATCATAAACCTTACTGCACTTGGACGGTAGCAGTGATAAATGCTATCCACACCTTCCTTCGCTGTGCACCTAGTCCTCATTACAGACTTACGCTCCTTTAGAATAAACACCCACAATAATAAAGCACAGGGACTCCCCAAACCACGGGTCATAGTTTCTTTTCTACCGCCATGACAAAACGCCACGACCAAGGCAACTTATAAAAGACAACGTTTAGTTTGAGGCTCATTGTTCCAGAGGATTAGAGTTCAAGTCCGTGATGGCAGGGTGCATGGCAGCAGACAGGCAGGGAGGTATGGTGCTGCAGCAGTAGCGGGCCAAGCGAGCACATCTCCATCCCCAAGTAAGGCAGAGAGGACTCACTGGGAATGGCACTTGAAGCCTCAAAGGACCACCTCCAGGGACATGCCTCCTCCAACAAGGCCACACCTCCTAATCTTCCCCAAACATTTCCACCATCTGGGGAGCAAGTATTCAAATACATGGGCATATGGGGGCCATACTTATTCATGTACTGATTAACAGCCATTTATGTGGCTGGCTTTAGAATCTTTCCTGGGTGCGCCTATGAAGTTGTTTTCACAGACCAAAAACAAACAAACAAAACAAAACCAACCTGGGTGCAGGGGGAACCACCCATCTTAAATGCAGGGATGCCCTTGTATAGACTGGGAACCCAGTTGCAGTAAAGAGAAATGCAGCAGGGTGCCAGTGCCCCCGTTTCTCTGCCTCCTCGCCCCATGACTGGAAATTGTTGCTCCGCCACGTTCTCCTGCTATGAGAGCCTAAACGCTCTGACACCCACTATCTCAAACAAATCTTGTCTCCTTTATGTTGTTTCTGTCAAGTGTTGTAGTCAGAGCAACACAGAGCTAACGAATAAACACACCCTTATAAATAACTCATGTTTGAAATTCTCTTTAGTTTTATTAACAAATTTTGGATCATACATTTATAAATCAATGGTCTACAAAACAGGTTAACACTCCTTTATCCCAACAGAACACATTTAAATATTGTATTCTGAACATTTACAAACTTAACAGAAAGAGCAACATTATACAACATATTCCTCTGAGAGAACTAATACACTAATTAAGAGGCAGTCTCAAAGATCAAGTGACCATAGGAGTGTGGGTTCATTTCTGGGTCTTCAATTGTTTTCCACTGATCTTCCTGCCTGTCTCTGTACCAATACCATGCAGTTTTTATCACTATTGCTTTATAGTACAGCTTTAGGTCAGGGATGGTGATTGCCCCAGTGGGGGAACACTCTCACAGAAGCAGGGGAGGAAGGATGGGATAGGGAGTTTGGGGGGAGGAGGGAAGACCAGGAAAGGGGACCACATTTGAAATGTAAGTAAAGAAAATATCCAATAAAAAAAAAAGAAGGAAAAAAAAAGAGGCAGTGTCTGTCTACATAACCTCTTCCCAGACTGATGGATATACTTCCTGATAATCTTTTAAAGGTTGAGGGAATGTACGGCAATATGCAAATGGGTTACTGGAAACAAAAACAGGTTATTTTGATACAGCACGAAACTAAAAATAGTGTGCATTCTAATTATCCCCTTTAATGTATCCTGTCAGCCAGGACGTATTAAATGCTTCTGTTCGCCAGGTGCCAACTATGGAGAAGTGAGGCACTGGCAGTCTGTCAGTTCTAGCCACCACAGCTCCATTCTGTCAGCTCCACACCCCTGCTTTCCCAGCACTACTGCAGGCTCTCCTGCTCATGGCTATAACCTCAACATTTTCCTATTTGGTCTTGACGCCACAGGAGGGCTCCAGCTCACCATCCCCATGAGAGCTAGCTCTGCAGCTGCTCCCTCTAAGTCCTGTCTATCTCCAAGGACTCACACCGTCCTGCAGTTCATCTGAACTTTCCCTAAGCAAACAACAGGGCGTGTACAGAAGAAGCCACTTTGTGATCTTTGAAGGTGGGGGGATCAGAAGAGGCAAGCAACTTTCACCTCGGCCTCTTGCACTGCCATATATGCCGCATAAGAAGTGTGGTGACCTGCAGTGATTACCACACCATGAAAACCTCCAGCAAGTGACAAGAGAGGAAGAAGATAGACAGGGATTTGGAGACAGATCCCCAAGCCTGACATGTCATGAAGGAGTTACTACTCCAGACATTCCAGAGTCACAGGACACTAAATGATAAAGAAGGGAAGCCCTACATCTTTGATCCAATAGAATCAGGCTAGATACTCTTATCTGGACCAGTCTGACTGAAGTCTTGGATGCTATGGCACAGAATCAGGCTCCCCTGACCACTGGATTTTCCACATGGTAAGAGTTGGTGTTGAGCATCCGCTACATTTCAGAGTGGCCCATTGGGTATCAGTACATAACCAAAGCAGTCCTCATGATCTTTCTCTAATGGTATCCATCTCCACTTAAAGCCTGGAAGCAGCTCTTCAACAGCATAAGAAAGGCCGTGGTATTTAACCAAGCTGCAGACATTCGTGGTGTTCTCTTCCTGCTTCGTTTCCTACTACTCTCACCAGCGTACTCTAACGGCAGCCATCCCTGAGTCACCGTACTCCGTGCCCTGAAATACTGATTCCATCCGAATCCATCTTCATGTCTCTGACAGCTCATTTTAAAAGGTGTGATCCTACATCTAAACCAACCTGAATACCTCTCACCCCAAACCAAATGTTCCTACCGTGCTCTACCGTGCCGCACGCAGAGCTCTGTGATCCCACAGTCACCCCACTGGTTTCCACTCGTCTATGACTAGAAGAGTCTACTTGGTCAGTCTCAAATCCAGGGCCCTGAGACGGTGACGGGTGTGCTCAGTCCTCATCTATTACATCAGCAGGAGTGTCACCCTCCTCTAAACGGCTAAGACTGTACACATTACAGTTCTCCACATTTTTGTCACATTGTAAGTCATAGAGAGAACGCGTCTTTTTATCCTCACATGAGATGGATGCCCTGAGAAACAGAACCAGACTCTCTGTAACTTTAAATGTTACATGAACTACACGTGCCATTTCTATGAGCTTTATTCACTGTTGTTGTTTTGGTTTTTTTGTTCTTGTTGTTTTGAGATAGGGTCTCTCAATGGCCAGGTGGCCTTCGCTGTGCTGGGGTTATGTAGACCTGGCTGGCTTTGTACCCACAAAGATCCTCCCGCCTCTGCCTCCAAATGCTGGGAATAAAGTTGCACACCATAATCTAGCTATGTAAGCTTTTGTCTCCCAATTCTCACAAGCTACAAACTGCCCAGAGAAAACAGTTGAGACAAGCTTGTGTCTCCAACCATATGAAAGGTTCAGGAATGTGGCCTCAGAAAAAGCAACTGCATGGGAGGGAGGGAGGGAGGGAGGGAAAAAGGGAGGGAAAAAGGGAGGGAAGGAGGGAGGGAAGGAGGGAAGGAGGGAGGGAAGGGAGGCAGGCAGGCTGACTGTAGAGGTGACATATATGCTTTAAAAAGCACCTTAAAAGGAAGGTAACATTCAACGATGTTCAATCTGGAACTACTGAAACCTTAATGCAGTAAGAGAGCTCTCTTAGGGACTGGAGAAATGACTCTGCAGTCAAGAGCACTTTCTGTCACAAAGAATCTGAGACCAGTTCCTAGCGCCCAACTTGGGTGGACAACTGCCTATAACTCCAGCTCCAGGGGATCCAACTCCCACTTCTGGTCTCCCTCTGTACACACACACAGACACACACAGACACACAGACACACACACACACACACCACACTCACACACACACACACACACACACATAAATAAAAATAACAATTTTTAAAAATTTAAAGAAAGGTTTTTCAACTCACAAGACAGCAAAACTGATGGGTTTTTGTGGTTTGTGTTTCTGTCAAATACTTATAGGCATCTAGCTGTAGAAAGAACCCATTTTCCCAAAGGTACTTGGTTCAAATCCTTTGATGTGTACAAGCTTTTGCTGTAGGGGTCAAATATTTCTCATAGGTCCCTGAGGCTTCTCTTCACACAGGAGCAAAACTTATGAAAAAAAAAAAAAACTAAAATAAAGTAAGGAAACACTGGGCTGGGGAAATAAATATATTAGTTGTGTCTTTGCAAGCATCAGGACCAGACTTGGATCCTTGGAACTCTTTTGACCTATGTCAAAATAGTTAGATATGGTGGCATGTCATTGTAATCTCAGCAGTGGGAGATCCCTGGCCAGCCAGCCCCGCCGACTGGAGAATTCCACACCAATGAGAGACTCTAACTCAACATGGACAATACCATGTCCTCTGTTCTACACACGTTTTCTGACTGCCTGACCCCCCTCCCAAAGGAAAAGAAAAGACAGGAAACTACCCAGCACCACAGAAGGAAGTGGAGAGAAGATGGAAGGGAAAGAAGAAGAAAAGGAGAAGAGGCAGACGGAAAAGAAAAGGTGTCACTTGCCTTCTCCTCTGAGGAAATGGTGAGTTTATCACTTGAGATTAAGCTGCACACCTGCTCGATGCCGAGGTTGAGAAACTCCTCACTAAGTACGACATCTGCAAAATGTTGTTCTGTTGGAGAGCCAGAGAGAGAAGTCATCAGTCATTCCATCGTCACACAAGCCAACAGAAAACATCTCTTCATTAACCTGAGAGAAGGAAACTAATGGCCTCTCTTCTGGGCAAGAACCAATACCAAGGCTGCCTTCATGGATGCTCACTGGACAGAACTGCATTAGGGCTTAACACGGCGCACATTAAACAGCTATGCTGTAGCACGGCACATTTCATATTTAAATCTATAAAACCTCTGGTCACAAAAAGCATGTGGTGGTGTAAATTCACATCTTTGAATATAGAATGCAAGACATTAGTACATTATGATTTGAGAACACTGTTTGAAAACTAAACAAAAAGCCTTAAATGCTGATCAATATGAACACGTGGGCAACATTTTAAAAAATTAGTTCATCACAATGAAACAAAAGCGAAGGTTTACAATAAATCTAAATTCTATATAAGTAATTTATTTGGGAACAAAATGATTAATTTTATATCTCAAGTCCTTCCCAGGAAACTGGTAAAATTGGTAATTCTTAAAATACTCAAATCTTCTCCTGGATTATGCTTATTTTTGAGGAGGTCAGGAAGCAACATAATGACATGACTTTATTAGCATAATTAATGATTTGAAAGGGTTGGTTTTTTTTGCTTTTTGTTTTTTGTTTGTTTTTTGAGACAGGGTTTCTCTGTGTAGCCCTGGCTGTCCTGGAACTCACTCTGTAAACCAGGCTGGCCTCGAACTCAGAAATCCGCCTGCCTCTGCCTTCCAAGTACTGCGCCACCACCGCCCGGCTGATTTAAAAGTTTATAAAGGATACATTTGGTACTAAACACCTTTTTCTGCAAGCCCACATCCCGCTCACAAAATATGAGCTGGAAACAGAAGACCGTGGCCTGGTCTCTGCACTTAGGCACTCCAAGTTAGCCTCAGCTGTACCATGTGCTGGCTTGTATGCTATGGGGTGATTATATGATCCCCTAAACCATGGCTTCCACACCCATGAGGCTCAGAAAGATACTAATATAATAATGGTACGAATGGTGTGAATGGGTGTGAATATACTCTTAGTTTATAAAACATAAGGAACTATGTGTGGAGGAGGCTGAGAACTCTGAGGCCCGTTAGCCTGGTGACCTTCAAATGCTAAACATGTGCTAGAAAGTCTACACTATCTCCAACTTAGCCTTCACAATTGCCTTTACTCACACAGTATGTTTGAAAGGCTTTTCTATGGTGAAATAAAAGGTTCCTTTCAATATGTATTTAAGGTACCCTAAAGAAAATTATTAGCTTCCTCTTTAGAATATTTAAAAAGTAAAATGTGCACTTCCACAAACCTCCTGAATACCTACTCACTTTATCAAAGGCTCCTCACCAGAGGACTTGGAACACAATGAGCAACTCGTGGGGTAATTACAAAATGACTGGATTCATAAAAATCCAACAGACACAGTTCTTTTCAAAGTCAGTGTCTGGGTTAGGCAAGCAAGATATCACACTGAAATAAACATGAAAATAAAGACTGAATTTCCTTTGTAAATGGGGGGAAAAAAACCCACGGGCCTGGAAATTGTTTGCGCAAACTGACTCTGGCAAAGAAGCCATGTGATTCAGTGAAGAAAGGAGGAACTTTTCTCAGAAAGATAAAAAGTGGCCACCCACATATGAAAAACAATCTTGATAAAGACCGTATATTTTTCACAAAAATTAACCCCAAATGGATCACACAACTGCCTTAGAAGCAGCAAATGTCAGGAGAAAAGCTAGTGGGCCGCAGCCCTGTGATGACTTCCCTTACCAGCCCAGGAATCAAGACAGAGAAAGGAGACAATTAGTATGTTGGGCTTCAGTAACACTAAATCTTTGACCCTGAAACCTGTGCTATGAAATAAAGAGATAAGTCATAACTTTCAAGAGAAAAATCTATAAAACATTTATCTTACAAAAGACTGTTATGTAAAATATGGAACTCTTAAAACTCAACAAGAAGAAAATAGCCCCAGTTTTCAAGTGGGCAAGAGGTCTGAATAGATACTTCCTCAAAGATTACATAAAGGTGGAAAACAAGCACATCAAAAGACACTATCATCTTGTCCCACCACGAACTACAACATCCTACAGATCCGCACATCTGTTCGAATAACTAAAATTCAGGCCACTGAGGCTACCTATCGAGACCTGGTCTCCAAACAAAAATCCCCAAACTCTGACAACTTGACAGAAACTCTTGTTACTCTGCCTTCAGAAAGGGGAATGGAAAAACAAAAAACAAACCTGTGGGACATCAGGTAGAAGCCTTGGCCACTCCAGTCTGAGGCCAGACGTTGATCTCCAGAACCCACATCTGTTACAGCAGAACACCACGGCAAGATGGGAGGTGTAGACAGGAGAATCACACAAAGGCTCCTGGGCCTGCTAGCTGGAGTAGGCATCCAGCAGAAACAGAACTCCTTGCCTCAAATACTAGGTAGAAGGAGAGGACTGACTCTCCAATTGTCCCCTGGCTCCTATATGTAGCATGGCAGAGCGTGCCCCAATAGTAATACAATAATATTCACAGCCCACACACAGTGATTACAGCAGCTGAATAAACCTCCACTGTATATATGAACCACAGTCTCTGCTGATGGATATCTAGGCTGATTTCATTCCCGGCTATTAAGATAAGAAGAGTGTTGAGCACAGACAAGCAGTACCTCTGGTAAGGTATGAAATCTTTTGAAATATGCCCAGGAGTGTGATAGCGGGCCATGCAGTAGATCTAATTGTAGCTTCCTGAGAAGCCTCTATACTGATCTTCACAGTGGCTGCTAATATATACACCCACTAACAGTGGATGAGGGTTCCTTTTTCACCACATCTTTGTATTTAGCTATACAGAAAAGTGAAATCATTGCATTCTATTAAGTGCAATAACCCAGGATCAGAAAGACAAATAGTGTGTGTCCTCTCTCATATACAAATCCTTGCTGCCAATTGTTACACACACACACACACACACACACACACACACACACTATTATATACGAGTAAACACCAAGAAACTGCAAGGGGCCAGGAGATGGGGGCAGAGGCAGAAAGGGAGATATGTAACTGGAAGAGATGGGTGTCCTACAGGTAGAAGAATACAGCAGGGTTGGGGAAAGAAATGGGTAAAGGCACCGGTAGTGGGAGGAGTCATGCAAAGCTAGAACTATGAAAATGACAAAGGAATGGGCTACTTTGTACATTAACTAAACATTTAAAAAAAAACAAGATTTACAGCAGTTATAAAAAGTATATCACACAAAAGGGAATCATTTCTATCATAGTTAAACCAAAGTAAAACCAAGGTGGCTCGGGGACAAACCACTGGAGCTACAACGTCTTCTCCAAATCAAGCCCAACTCAAAACTACAAGACCTGGACTTAACTACAAGAGCCTAACTCTTACCTATAAACCAGGGCAGCCAACCAGTTAGAACAGACAGTCAGAACAGGACAGATCATGCAAGATGCTGCACTCCTGCCAAACCACTTACATAATAATGTTCCACTTTCCTAACAAAACCCCAACCTGGGAGTTGGAGAGAGAGAGAGCAAGCTCAATTGATAACGTGCTTAGACCTGAGTTCAATCCCCAGAAGCGGTGTGTGTGTGTGTGTGTGTGTGTGTGTGTGTGTGTGTGTGATGGAAAGTCAGGGGTGGTGTGGGCTGTGATTCTCAGTGCTAGAGAAACGGAGACAAGAGGATATCCCGGGCTCCTGAAGACTAACAGACAAGGCTCCACACACACGCATGCATGCATGCTCTGGTACACACATGTGCACATACACACTTGCATGCACACACACACACATGCATGCTCAGGTACACACATGTGCACACACACTTGCATGCACACACACGCATGCATGCATGCTCAGGTACACACATGTGCACACACACACTTGCATGCACACGCACACAGGCACAAGCATCATCACCCCTCCAACCTTTTTCTTTCTTTAGCAGTCATATCAGACCATCCTGGTCTACATCGTATGTCCCAGATCGTTGTTGTTGTTATTATTATTATTGTATATCTCAAGTGAATTCACTTTTTATTATTGTTGTTGTTGTAGTATGTTCCAAGTGAACTCACCTGGAGTTTCATCCTTACAAACTTTGTGTAGACACATTTATTTACAACTGAAAAAAAAAAAAAGAACCAACCCTCTGAGGTAACCAGGGACACCTTGGGTACATCTAACTACAGTAAAATTGTATAACAGAATTAGGGTGTGGGGGTGGGTACTGAACGAAGGGCCTGCATACCAGGCAAGCACTACTGACCCACATCCCCAGGCCTCTTTGCACTTTTTATTCTGACACAGCCTCTCACTAAGTTGCCCAGAATTGTCTTGAATTCACTTTGAAGTCCAGGCTGGTCTTGAGACTGCAATTTCCATGTAGCAGCAATCACGGGCCTGGCTTATTCAAAAGACTATGACTCAGCTAGCAAACCATAAAAAAATAAAAGACTTAAATACGCATTACTAAGCAAAGGAAGACAATTTGAATGGCTATAAAGCCGTACAATTATAAGAAGTTCTTCTAGAAAAGGCAAAACTAAAGAGAAAGTAATGCCCATGTCTGACACAGAACAGTGGAGGATTTCCAGGACAGGGCAACTATCCTGTCATGGTGGGTAGATATGCATCTTACACATTTGTCAGAACCTACACAATGTACAACATAAAGAATGAACACTAGCATGCATTACAGACACTGTTTTTTAAAAATTATTTTCCCCCTCCCCTTTCCTCTCTCCAGACTCTCCCATATACCCTCCCCACTGTCCTTCAAATTCATGGCCTCTGTTCTCATTAGCTGTTACTACATATATGTTTGTATATATTCCTGAATATTACCTATTTGGTCCGTATAATGCTACCTGTATATATGTCTCCTGGTCTGACCATTTGGCAATGCGCAATCAGTTGATGAGTTCTTCCCTGGGGAAGGCCACCACTCCCGTTCCTGCCTT